AATCGCAGTGATGATCCTGAACTGGGCCTTAGATCATGCTGCTATACTCAGCACTGGTGATGCATTAATGAAGCCTTTCCACTCTGACTTGCAGTTTTCCCAGCCATGAGCTGGTCTGGCTCAATACCCTGGGCAGGGCCCAGCGGCCGCTCGTCGGGAGGGGTAGCGAGGGGGGCGGATCCCAACCGGGCTGCTGCCCTCTCAGTTAAGGCTCTGGCCAGGCCAAAGGCTAGTCTCCGCTTGAGGGTGACACAGGAAGGCAGAACTGCAGGAAGGGAGGTTCCGGGTGGAGCCTGCAAAACGTGAAGCATGGTATGGGTGGAGGCTTTGTCTAACTAGTCGAGAGTGGGAGCGGGATGGGAAAGGGGTCTTAGTATCCTCCACGAAAGACACCGTCTCCCTGGGAATACTTTTAAAAGGGTTCCCTCTGCTCTCTGTGACGGGCGGGAAAAAGAGAGGGGGCTGCAGTCCCAGGTCACCTCAAAGGAGAAACGACTAGAGCTTTCCTCCCTTCTTCTCTCTCTCCTCCCTACCACCAATGACCCACCTCCCCGCCCCCTGTCTACATTAACCATGGGTGGAGTCTCTCTAACTCGGCCCTTCTCAGAACCGGCCTTCTTCACAGTCCCCTCCAGACTACTAGGCGCCCACGAACTGCAGTCCCCACCCTCCAACCCTAACCCCGGCCCCGGACCGTGCGGGGTCGCCCCATCCCTCCCACACGAGACTACAAAACCCGGAGGGCCGTGCGCGGCAGGCAAGGCCAACTCCCAGGCTTTCGCAGGGGTCCACTTGGGGGATGTAGTCCGACGGTCGGATGCGCCTCTACCTTGGAACGGCAATGAGGGGAGAGAGCGACTACGATCCCCACAGTGCTCCACGAGAGGGGGAACGGGCGAGGCAGGCGCGGTGGCTTCCGGGGGCGGTAGTCATACGACAGCTCCGGCTAATTAAATGCAACGGCAGGGAGGAGCGTGGGAGACTACAAGTCCCATGGTGCATCGCAGGAAGGCGGTAGCCCAAGCCTTGCAGGCCCCGGCAGAATGACCAGGGCGATGGAAGGAAGTCGTGCTCGCTGCGGGCGTGAGGAATGGGCTTACCGGTGTGTCGAAAGAGAAGGCGCACTCGTCTTTGTGGACCCGGTCTCCAGCCTTAGGAACCCGGATCGTCGGTAATACTGACAGCAGCGCCTCCTCACTCAGCTCCGCCATGACACCGGCAGCAGCTCCTCCACACACAGCGGCTCCCACCGTTCCCAGTCCCCCACCCCCTAGGCTTGCCGGCCAATGAGCACTACGCGTTAGGTACATGCGCTAAAGGGAGGACGCGCGAGAGTGGCAGTTGGACGTAGCCTGCCTACTAGTGCTCCGCCCTCTGCCCCACTCTTGACTAACGCCAATGAAAAGCGCTTCTAATGCAAGCGATGGTCGAGAGAACCAATCCCACGCTCCCAAGGGCAGAGCGCATGTAGAGCAGCGAGGAGGGTCCCGGAGTTTTGGATGCTCGGATTCTGGGACCCCTACGGTCCCTTCGCAGGTCTTCTATCGAAGAGCAGAAACTGACGGTTGTTTAAACCAATCAATCCCAGAAACTTTCCTGGGTCCTGTCCAATCGGAAAGTAGAAGGCCAGTTGTACTCTTGGTATTTGAACAGGGGCTGTCCAATGAGGTGGAGTATGAGAGGGTCGTGCCGAGTGATTGATAACTCCGTCAGCCAATAAGGATTACTAGCTCTGTCGCCTCAGAAAAAACCTTCATAACTACATCTCCAGTTGGATCTGTACAAAATCGCGTAAAAACTCATGACTCTATTTTTTTTTTTATAAAATTCTTTGGGTTTTGAAACTGAAGGTGTTAAAAGCGAAGACCGGCACGCCTCAAAGTCTCACAACGGACAGCTCGAAACCCGTTGCGGAACAAAAGTCCCCTGAGCAGGGCGGTGTCAGCCCTGGGCCAGCCGAGCCGCTGCTCCTTGGCCCCACGGTTCTCATGATAGACATCGCCCCCGCCCAATGGCGTCCCGCACTGGAGGCGGGTCTCACAAGGAGGCCCGGAGGAGCCTGCGTCAGCTCCACCAATAGAGTCAAAGCAGGGGGCGTGGCGGGAGGTTTGAAACTCGGCGTCGGGAGTTGAGGCTCCAGCTGCGGTGCACCCAGAAGAGGAATCGGGGCCTGGTAAGTGATTTGAGTTCATTAGCGAGTAAGTTAGAGGGCCCAGCGGGCCCGGAATGAGCCGGCCTGTCAGTTGCGTCAGTCATTATCTCCACAGAGGCCTCTGGCCGGGCGGCCGGAAGGCTCCTCGGCCGGGAACCGGGAAGATCGGGTGGTCTGCAGTCAGAGGTCAGACGTGGTCGAGTTAATGGCTGAGACCTGAGTCATTTCTCACAGGCGTCCCCTCCTCGCCCCCGGCCGGGCCCTGCCCCACCTTATTCCTCCTGGATGAGATGGGCTCAGCCAAGAGCGCCCCGGTCACCCCGGCGCGGCCTCCGCCGCACAACAAGCTCCTGGCCCGAGTGGCGGACCCGCGTTCACCCAGTGCCGGCATCCTGCGCACTCCCATCCAGGTACGCCGGGACCGGGTGGGGAAGGCAGAGTCGGCCTTCGTGGGCCTCTGCCTAGCCTCATTCTGAGAAAGCCCTCGCGCCCTCTTCTTTCTAATCCGAGGCCCAGTTTTCCACTTTCTTAATCCGGATGGGGCAGGCTGTATTCCCGAGGGCTTTGGCCTTGCCTGCCTGGACTATCCACCAGGGCCTAGAGACCTGGGAGGGAAGAAAGAGTCCAGGTCCAGACTTGTAGCCTTTGGTTCTGCCAGGTGGAGAGTTCTCCACAGCCCAACCTACCAGCAGGGGAGCAGCTGGAGGGTCCCGATCAGGCCCAAGACTCAGATCCCCGCTCTCCTACCCTTGGCATTGCACGCACACCTATGAAGACCAGCACCGGAGGTAAATGGTGGGCCCAGGAAACTCCGGTAAGGCTGTCACCTAGGATCCGTGGGTTGGGCTAATAAAGCCATCTTCTCCATCCTCTTGCTTTGAACCAATCTCACTCTTCTCTCAACGTTTCTCCTCTCGCCTTGATTTCTCTCTTCCCCATCCCACACCCACCAGGGCATGAATCCTAAAGCTCCTGTATCTTTTCCTCCTTGCTGAATGATTTGCCACTATTTCACTTGACTTCTCCCCTCTAGAACCCTCAAGCCCACTGGTGAAGCAGCTGAGTGAAGTATTTGAGACCGAAGCCCCCAAATCGAATCTGCCCCCAGAGCCTGTTCAGCCCTTAGAGGCAACTTCATCTTCTGAATTGGACTTGCCTCTGGGCACCCAGTTTTCCCTTGAGGACCAGACGCCACCCTGCAGCCAGACTGAGCTCCCCTCCAAGCAGGTGTTCTCCAAGGAGGAAGCAGGACAACCCTCAGAAACCCCCATGGCCAGCCAGGGCTCGGACAAGCCTTCAAGAGACCCTGAGACGCCCCGATCTTCAGGTACAGAATCTAAGGGCAAGGTAGAGGGAAAAGAAACAGGGATGTCAACGGATCAGTGTAGAAAGAATAAACTGTAAGCCCCTAATTTTGGCTTTTGCTTTAACACCTTACCCACCCTAGGTTCTAAGCACAATAGACGGAAAGCAAATGGCAAGGTACTAGGGAGATCTCCCCTCACCATCCTACAGGATGACAACTCCCCCGGAACTCTGGCACCACGACAGGTAAAGGGGGAGAGGGTGAAAACTTACTGACCAAGGCAGGCTGGAGGGTGGGAGGCCTTTTTACCATATCTTCCCTCTCCTGAACAACCTCCCTCCCTCCTCCAAATCACACACCGCTTTTGGCAGGGTAAGCGGCCTTCTGCCCTGAGTGAAAATGCTAGGGAGCTAAAGGAAGGGGCCATTCTGGGAACTGGACGACTTCTGAAAACTGGAGGCCGAGTATGGGAGCAGGGCCAGGACCAGGACAAAGAAAATCAGCACTTTCCAAACTTGGTGGAGAACTAGGCCGAGCGTGGCCCCAGCACTGGCTTCACCCGGGGCCGAGTGATGTTGCGTCCCCTCCATCCCATCTTTTCCTGGGAGACTGGAAAGGCTCGTTGTCTTCAACCCTCCCTAAACTCCTGGCTCGGGGACTCCGTGCTTTCTTGGGCTTTGTGTCTTATGTGTTTCTTGTATATTAAAGAAAGTGGTTTTAAATGATGTTTTTCAATGTTCTACCTAAACCTTGCAGTGGGCTACTGTAGGTAGAGAAGCAGCCTGGGGAACTTGGGTTCCCTGTCTTCCAAGCCACTTTCACACGCTTCCCGAAAGTCCTGGTGTTCCCCAGAGCTCCGTCCTTGGCCTTTTCCTCCTTGCACTCCCTAGGTGTGCCCTTCTAGAGCTTTAACTATCATTTACTTATATTCTGGTAATTTCATGTCCCTCCAACTAGCCCTGATCTTTATCCAACTGCCCTGTAGGAACTACAGAGTCAGTTTGTCTAAAGCTGAATTTGTGCTCTTTCCCCCAAAACTCTTCCTCATACCCTATTCTCTATCCCTAGGAATAACAGCATTATCCTCCCTGTTGCCCAAACCTGGACCTTGGCCATTATCTTGGATGGCTCCCTCTTAATATCCCATACTCAAGCACTAAATCTTGGTGATTCTGTTATCTTTCATCTCTTCCCCATCCCTTTCTTTGCCCCCATGTCCTTAACGCTCTTATTTTTTTTTTTTAAAGATTTTATTTATTTATTTGTCAGAGAGAGAGTAAGCAAGCGCCCAAGCAGGGGAAGCAGCAGGCAGAGGGAGAAGCAGGCTCCCTGCTGAACAAGGAGCCTGATGCTGGACTCGATCCCAGGATTCTGGGATCGTGACCTCAGCCAAAGGCAGCCAGCAGCTTAACCGACTGAGCCCCCAGGGGTCCCTCCTGCTCTAGATTTCTGGCCATCTCCCTCCTGCCTAGTTTTCTTCCAGTCTCCCCTCCCACCATTCCATCCACCTACACTGCTGCCAGGGTGACCTTTCTGAGAAACACAACTGACCATGTGACTCCTCTGCTCAGAACTCTTCAGTGGCTCCCCATTGCCCTTAGGATAAAGTCTCCGCTGGTATTCAAGTACTGCTGTAATCGGATTCCTTCTCAGCATAACCTTCCTATACACATGCAGGTGGGCCGGTGGTAGTGAATCATTGGACAGATGCTCCGCTGGCCACCTAGAGAATACCTTCTCCTTATCTGTCTCTTGCCTTCTCCATGAGGCTTGGGCTTCCACCTCCCCCGCACTTTCTGCCCCCCAGCTGTTTGGTACCCAGCCTTTATCACTGCACCTGTAATACCTCATTACTTAAGTTGGGCCTGTGCCTTTTTGGCAACAGAAGTGGGGCAGAAGCCAAACATCACAGACATACACCGGGCACTACGGTTTATTTCAGGTCCTTTAGGAGGGAAATAAAGAAGGTAGAAAGTGGAGAAAACCTGAAGAAGGGGGCCAGGATCCTAATGTGTGCCAGAGCCATAGTCACAGGACTGAGCACCCTCTGCCACCCAGGTCTGGACAAAGGTAGCGGCTCTGGGGGCGGGGGGCGGAATTCCAGGGCCTGGGGCCTCAGACCAGAAGCGTGCCAGGCCCACCCAGGGCTGGGGAAGGGCCAGTTATCCTTGCTCAGGACAGGAGAAGCTGCAGGACCATGGAGAGGGGAGGCCATGGGAGGAGATGGGGCAGTTCTTTGCCCCTGTGTCCCTGATGCTGCCTCCCAAAGGCATATTCCCCATTTTCCCCACTGCCCTCAAAGGACAAAGCTGGGTGGGGGTGGCAGCTGGGGCATAGAAGAAAAAAAACCTTAAAAGAAAATGGGGCAGGGGAGGGGGCCGCTGATTGTCTTCATGGCCTTTTACCTCCTCTCCTCCAGCCTCCTTAGTTCCAGACTTTGAGGAAGCTGTCCCAGGAGCCTGTGGCCACAGCCATCCCATCAGCTGTGACCCCCAGGCAGCTGACCCTGTTGTCATGGCCAGAGAGCATGCCTGAGGAAGAGGGAGACAAGTCAGCTTGTTAGCCCATGCTGCTTTGGCAAAGAGCACATGTGCGTCCACGGGAATCCTAGGTTACATTGGCCATGACTCTCAGCCTTTGGCGGGGACTCAAAGAGGATTACCCTAAGGGGCAGGATTTCTCTTGAGGCCAATCCCTGTGGAGGGCAGGGTGGGGGGCCGAGAGGGACAGGAGAGGTCGGCCACACCAGTGTGCTATGAAAAAAGCAAGGAGCACCTTGATGGACCCTAGAAAAGGGGGAGGTAGCTCTTTTGTCTCATTCCTGAGTTTTCAAAGGAAGAGACTGAGGCCCAGAGAGAAGTGAGTTGCCCTCAGGCCCTTGGACCCTAAGCAACAGAATTCAGATTTGGATCCTGACTCTCTGGCCAGTGGTATTTTCATTCAGCACCTGGCCTCTCCCAAGAGAAGCCACACGATCTGATTCAGCTTCAGATCAGGGTGGTCCTTGTTAAGCCCCTAGGTTGGGGTGGCCTTGATTCTGCTTATTACAGTTCCCCGAGATTGCCCCTTCCTCCGGTGGATGGCCCTAACACTTCATAGGCCCTGGAAATCCAGAAGTGACTGGACATTCAAGGTCCACGGGTCTCAGGTGACACAGGAGCTCCTTTGGCAGAAAGCAGCTAGAGCACTGGGCGGTGGAGACAGGCCTCTAGAGATGATGGTCCTAGGTTGGGAAACCAAGGGGGACTGGATTCTAGGGGTAGAGCTCAGTGTCATTCGGTAATTAGGGCACAGGGGAAAGGGTCCCAGAAAAGAGAGCTAGTAAGAAGGTCCTTCCCGCTGAGGTGGCGGTAGGGGGGCGGGGCTGGCCCTTACCCACACGCTCACACTTCATGGAGTCCCAGACGTTGCAGTTGAAGTCGTCATAGCCTGCAAAGAGCAGGCGGCCGCTGAGGGAGAAGGCCACAGATGTGATACCACAGATGATGCTCTCATGGGAGTAGGTAGTCAGCTCCTGGTCTGCCCGCAGGTCAAACAGGCGGCAGGAGGCATCGTCCGAGCCTGTGCAGATGGCCTCTCCATTGGGGAAGAACTGAGGGTACAGGCGGCAAGGGGGTCAGGACTCAGACCTGGGTGGCCTGAGACCTCTCTCATCCTGAGGGCTCCAGGGCAAGCGCTTTCCCGCAGCCTCTGCCTATCCTGTCCCCGGCACTCTTCGCCAATGACATTTGTCCCACACCAGCTGCATGCCAGTGGCTGCCCTACACCCTCCACTTGCCCCTCACTGCCTGGCAGAGCCGCAGGCAGGCATTATTTGCATGTTGCCGGCAGGAGCATGAGGCTGAAGGAGGGCGGGCGGCTTGCCCAGGGTCACATGGCTAGAAGGGCGGAGGCTGTCCCCGACTCCCACTCCGACTCCCGGCTCCGGGCGGGATCAGGGTGTGGACGCAGAGGGCCAAGGGCAAAGGCATGACCTGAATCTCATCACGCGGAAATGTCAGATAAACTCAAAGGGACACAAATCTTCAAGAAAATGGGGTGGCACTCTTCAAAGAGGTCAATGGCCCGAAAGACAAAGAAAGGTAGAAAAAAGTTTTTCGGGTTTAAAAGAAAGTGAAAAGATATAACAAGGGAATGCAATGCATGTTCCTAGTCAGAAAAAACCATGGCTTTTAAGGATATTCTTGAGATGACTGGTGAAATGAGAATGGATATAGGCTGTGGACTCTACTGTGTCATTATTCAATCTGATTTTAAGAATTATACGGCAGCTGTGTTAGAGAGTGGCCTTGTTTTTAAGAAACACGTACTGAAGTACTTAAGGGGTACAGAGGCATGGTATCTGCAACTTACTCTCCAAAGAGGAGAAAAAAAAAGATAATAAAATATATCTAGGTGTCTGTGTCTGTCTTTCCATCCATCCCTCCCTCCATCTACAGAGAACGATAAGGCAAACGTGGTCAAATGTCAGCAGTGAATATGGGTGAAGGGTAGATGAGGGCTGTTTCCGTGACTCTCACAGCCTTTCTGTAAGATGAAATTATTCCCACCAGGAAAGTTAAAAGGAGAGGGGGAGGGAACTAGGGAAGGAATGTAGGCTGTGTGGGGGGGGCCCGGTGAGGAGGTCTCGGGAGCTGGGGCGCAGAGGGGTGCTCACGCAGATAGCATTGATGTCAGACTCATGGCCAGTGAAAGTCTGCCGACAGGTTCCCTCCCGCACATCCCAGAGCTTGGCACTGGCGTCACAGGCTCCCGAAATGAAGAGCTTGAAGTCAGGAGAGACAGCCAGACTCATGCAGTCCCCAGTATGCCCCACAAACACCGTCTTCTGCTGCCCGGTCTCGATATCCCACAGAGCACTGGCGGGAGGAGGGGCACGCTGTCACTGTCACAGAAAGGCCAGGCCAGAGCTGCACCCCAAGCCCCGGCATCCACAGTGTTCAGTCCTCACCAAGTGGTGTCCCCGGAGCTAGTCACGATGTTGTTGTCATCCAGGAAGCGGCAGCAGGAGAGATAACCTGGGGGTGGTGAGGACAGCGCCCTGGCTGCAGAGTGAAGTCCCTGGGCCTCTCTCAAGAGGGATGGGAAGAGAGGGTCACTCACTCACCTGTGTGAGCAGAGAGCTCCCGGCTGACCTTGACATTGCCCTCACGGGACTTGAGGCTGTAGATGGAGCACATGTTGTCCAGCCCCCCACAGGCCACGAAGTTCCCTGATGGGGCGTAGGCACAGGTCATGACCCAGGAGGAGCGCAGTGGGATGGCATGCACCTGCAGGGGGGCGGGCAGAGCAGGAGCTGAGCTCCTAGGTCGGGGAGGATGGAAGTGAGGAGGCACAATGTCCCCCAGGAAGCGGAGGGCAATGGGGGGCTGGTGAGGCCAGTACCTTATTGGTGGTGTAGGTATCCCACACGATCAGCTTCCCGTCTTGCGAGGCACTTACCAGCAGCCTGGGGACAGGGCAGCCCACGTCACCCAAGCCTCTCCTTTCTGCCTCCCATCCCCACCCCTGGGTGGCCCTCAAGCCTCACTTGGAGTCGGTGGCCCAGTGCATAGCATAGATCTTGGCCAGGTGTCCCCTTAACGTCCGCCGTGTCCGCATCTGGACTCTTCCAACGACCTCTAGGCCTGACACCAGCTGCAGAAAAGGGGACACTAGAAATCAGGGTGAGTAGGGCACATGCCTGGATATCAGTGTCCTGGCCACCAATCTGGACCAGGTTCTGTTCTATGCCAGGCTCTGGGGTCAGGCCCCCAGCCTTGGAGAAATATGTCCCTGCCCTGCGGCGGCTTCAACTGAGGTGGGAGAGACCAGACATGGCCAGTGGCACATTGCCAAGTGTTTAAGAAGCATCTCTCCAGTGTGGGCTGCTGGAGGAGATGGGGGCGGGAGAGAGCTGTCCATCATGGAAATACTCCCACCTTGACCAACTTCAAGCTGCCAGCATGATGTCACCGAACACGGACTTGGGAAGAGAGGCACACATCCACCGTTCCGAGCCCCTAGGAGGCCTGGTCCCACACGACACTGTGGCCTGGCTGTCTCTTCCACAGGCTTCCCTGGGGCAGCCAGGGCAACCCTGAACTGCACCTCCTGAAATTTGTGGTCCTATGGCCCTTACACTCCACCCAGTCTCTCAATTTAGGCTGGGGCTCAAGTCCATGGCCTTGACTTGTCATTTACTTGCTTTGTTGTCCTGGGCAAGTTGCTTGCCCTCTCTGAGCTTGTTTGCTCATCTGTAGAATGAGGTTTATAGCATCAACTTATGGGGTTGTCATAGAAATTAAATGAAATTATGTATTGAAGCAGCTTAGCCCAGTGTGGGGCTCCCGGCAAGGGTTCGCCGTTCACCCTCACTGTTAATGTATTTAATCGGACATGAGATGCTGCCAGCTCTACGAAGCACCATGCTTTTAGGTATCACTGAGAAGGGAAAAAGACGCCGCCGATTCTAACCGTCGAGCATCGCCTGCCTATGTTGGGCTGCGTCTCGATCTCAGAGATGTCAGAATGTGAAATACATGACTTAGAATTGATGCAGTACACTGTTAGGAGACTAGAAATCGCTCGTAAGTCCATCCCTCGCTTCCTCCTCGCCACCCTTCGAGGGGGTATAACCATTCTCACCTTCTGATTGAGGACAGAGACAGCATCTGCAACCTTAGATTCCAATAAGGGGCCTGGCCCAGAGCAGATCTCACTAAATGTTTGTTGAATGAATTAATTAATGCCGTTCCTCATTCCAAGGACACGCTGTACTAAAGCTCAGGCACCAGGCTGCTGCTGGTCAAGGAGCTCCCCTCCCTTCCCCTCCCTTCCCCTCCCCTCCCTTCCCCTCAGGCCTGCCTCAGGGGGACAAGGAGGTCTCACCTCTGCCAGAGTAATGTCAGCGCAGGCTTTCCGGGCATCCTGGGGGGAAAGCGGCCATCAGGCAGGCATAAGGGCAAGGTGGGGGTAGTGGGTGCATGGGCCTCTGAGGTGGGTGGGCTTGGGCCTCTAGGGTTTGGGGGCATCTTAAATATGAGACCCAAGTTCAGAAAGTCTCTGGTCACTTCCAGGTCAGGGGTCTCTACGGTGTTGCTCAAGAGCTAATCCAGCCTCCTTCCCCCACCCCCAAGTCCACACTCCCTCATGTCCCGGGTTCCATGTTTTCTAGGGTCCCCTGATGGGAGAGTTCTGGGGTTACAGCAATCTGCTTCTTGAGCTGCTCCGCTTCCTGCCGTAGTTGCTCCATCTCCCCCATGGCTGACTGGTTGAGGGGTAGCTCCGGCTCCTGTCAGGAACATGGGATAGGAGTAGGTGGTCCCCAACCGGCCATGTTCCTGTCCCTTGCGCCCACTCCAGACTCAAGGCCTGGAGCCCACTACAAGAAGTAGAGAGATGCCTGGGGGGCAGGCCGCACCAGCTCCCCACGAGCCCCTCCACATCTGGAGTCCCGTACAGCCAAGCCTGGCCCTGCCTGAGCCCTCCCTGCAGCCTGCAGCCCCCAGCCCCAGTCCCAAAACTACGCCAGCTCCCCCTTACTTGGACTCTGATTGGACCTCTCCCGGGTTTCCAGCTCTGCTTCCAGGCGCCTCTTCACTCCCTCAGCGGCGATGCCAACCCGTCACCTGCCCCAGCTCTGCTGCCAGAAGAGCTGGCCTGGCCTGGCCCCAGCTCTGGGTAGGGGGGGGTTGGGGGGAGCACTGACAGAGAAGGTAGGGCCGACGACGACAACAACGTCAGGCAAATGAAATCAGCTGGCAACGGCGGGGGTGGGGGCGGGGGGAGAGGGCGGGAAGGGAGGTGTGTGGCTTCTAGAGAGACTTGGGCCCAGCCTGGGGTGGGGCAGGGGGGGTAAGTGGGAGCAAGAGTGTGGGGCTATAGAGATGAGCAGTCTCCCACCAGCCCTGGGGGGAGGAAGGGTCGAAGGGGTGCTTCTCTGGCCAGTCTCCTCGTAGGCAGAGATAAGAGCATCAGGCCCCATGGGATTAGAGCAAAGCTGTGAGGATTAAAGGTTGGGGTCTGGGAGGTGTACAGAGGAGTAGAAGCAACCACAGCTCCGGTGCCCCCCCCAGCCCCAGCCCCCACCAATGCTGATGATCGTGGCAGTCAGGGCCTGCCTAGCAACCGGTCCAGGAGCCGGACTATGAGGGTGAGAGGTGGCCCATTATCAACATCCAAGATTTTGCCTCTAAGTTCAGGGTTGTGGGGAAGGGGGTTCGGGTGAATACAGGGAGGGTGCAGGAGCTGAGATTAGATGGGACTGATCTGGATAATCCTTCTTCTCAACAAACCCTAACCAGCTGCCCCTGGGTCTGATCCTGGGGGGTTGAGGGGTGATGGGGAAAGGTACAGGGGATTCAGAGAGAAAGACTAGACAGGGTTGCCCCTGCTTTGAGTGGACCAACGGTGGGAAGTGGGGTGCAACCCCAACCCGGCTTCCATCTGGGTTTGGCCTACTCCTTGCCCCCATGACTCGCGGAGTCCTGCCAGGGTTGTGAGGCTGGAATCAGAGGATCAGGCTGCCCTACGTCTTGGCTGAGCTCAGAGGGGGAAGACAGGGTTTAGAGTCGGAGGCCTAAGGAGCAGCTGTCAGGGGTTTGGGTCCATTTGCATGTGGGGAGCAGGTGGCCGAGATTTCCCTGACAAATCACAGGCTTTGAGAGGCCCCGCCTCTGGGAGGCCCAGAGACACCTGTCTCCTCCCAGGCCAGCCACAGCCGCTCCCCGATGCAGACACCACAGAAACCATGATACCCTTGACTGGCCCTTGACTGAGGGATCTTCAGTTCTTTATTACAGGCTGGGACAGGGCCCTGGGTTTAGCCTCCCTCTCATCCTCCACACATGAAACAGTCAGGCCCTCTCCCCTGCCATTTCTTTCTAGGAAGGGATTGTGTCCTCAGTCTGTCCTAGGTCTTTCCTCAGGCTGGAGGTCCATCAACCAGGCCTGGTGTGCTTTAGGCTAGTCAGTGCAGTGTCCTCTGCGTCCAGGGCTGGACAGCCCTTGTGATCCCCAAGGTAGGAGGGGTGCAGGGACAGAGAGCTCACTGTTCTGCTCCCGTCACATGGGGGCTTCTCGTGGGTCCTGGCATCAAGATGGCCCTTCACCAGTCAAGTGGCCACATCCCCGAGGAGCTGGCTCAGTCCCTCACAGTTCCTCTCGGACCCGAGGCGGTTTCCCAGCCTTGTCCTGGACCCGCGGAAGCCTGCGGCTGGGGGGTTCTGGGGAAGGGTCTCTGCTGGGCATTTCTTCCTCCTCCTCCTCCACTTCCTCCTCTTCTGGCTCCTTCAGCAGCTCCTTGGCTTCTGTCCACTCCTGAGTGATTGGAAGGAGAACGTGGCCCAATCCCCTGCATCACCTTGCCCCCAGGACCCTCCGTGGGACGTCCTGGCCCCGCCCCTCATCCTTCACACACCAGGAGGGAGACACCTTCCTGCTCCCACTCCTCCTCACCTGCTCCCTGTGCTCAGGCGCCCACGTGTGCCACAGGGCCAGGGCACAGCGCCGTCCCCGAGTCACAGCCCACACACCATGGGGATTCTCTCCACCAGAGCTAAAGGCCACGAGGCGTCCACAGCGAGGACGAACCTGAGCCTAAGGGGTCAGAGCAGGTTCAGCGCCACAGAGGGGGGCTCTCAGAGAACTTGGCCTTCACTCCCTAACGCCAGGGGGCGGGCCAGGGCGCAAGAGTTCAGCTCTCCTGCCCGTCACTTCCCACTCCTTAATTCAGGGACGCTCCTGGGGGGAAAATGGGAAGTTGGCCTCCACTTGGAGAGCACAAACACCAGACTGAGGCTAGAGGAGTCGGAGCCAAAGGAAAGGTGCCTCCACGGAGGGCCTCCCCAACCCCTGCCCAGGCCTTGACTTTTCCTGCCCAAGCTTTGAACCCCAGGTGTGATGCAATCTGAGGGCATGAACGCGGTATCAGGCTCTGGGGATTGAGGATAAGGATCTTGGGGACATTCTTCCACCTCGGGGAGACCAGGGGTCATCAGTAGCTGGTGGCAGTTAGCAGAGAAGGAGGTGGCTGGGTAAGACAGAGCAGTAGATGACGGACAATCACTGTCCCACTCCTTCTGTCCAATTCCAGCCCCTGGTTTCTACCTGGACTAGGACCTTGGGGACGTGTGCGCTTCACCCACCGTCCCTGAGGGAGTGAGGCAAACCCTGAAGGCAGGGTTTGGAGGGGCCACTGCCATCTCCCGGGGAGCTGTAATCCACCTCCGCCAGAACCCCCAAACCCAGACAAGTGGTGGAGAGAGCTGGGGAGGCCAGGAAAGGAAAAGGTTAAAGGGGACCCAGCCATTTCCCTGCATTTGCCTCTGGGAAGCTTCTGTTTTGAATTCAGAGCCCACAGCTGGGCTCTCCACCACACCCCCATGCCCCCCACCCGGCTTACTGTGACCGTGAGGGCATTGGGCTGTGTGAAGAACAGATCCCCACCGTGGAAGTCATCGTTGAGGTAGAGGAGCCCACTGCAGAGGAAGAAAGGTGGCAGGCAGTGAGACCCCAAATCGGGTCCACCTGCCTGACCGCCTGGGGGGCTGCCCACCTGTAGTCTCTATAGGTGTAGGCTGGGGGCTCCCGCCAGCACTCCCCGGTGTCGGGGTCCAGGACGCAATTGTCTGCATGGACCGGATGACTGAGGTCCATGCGCTGGTCTTGCTCGCCTGGGAAGCAGAGGGGCCTGGTGAGTGCCCCAGCGCCCATCCACTGCCGCCCACACTTACTCTGCACCTGCCGGGACCGCAGCTGGCCAGGTCGATCACCGGCCCTCACCCGGGCGAGGGAGTCAGAGAGCCCACCAGGGGTGGATGTGGAGGGGGTGCAGGGCCCAACCCGGGGCCAGGGCTGGGGAGGAGCGGTTAGGCTCTCTGGTAGTTACCTTCTATGGCACTCCGGCACACCAGGTGGGTGAAGGAAAGATGCAGGGGCCTCTCCGGGGAGAAGTAGGCCTGTGTCAAGGTCCTCACGCGCTCGCTCACCTCCAGAAGGAGCTTAGCCCCCTGACTGTCCACGGCCCCAGCCTGGGCCAGCTGCAAGCCGGGAAAGGAAGGGCAGGAAAGGAGGAGGCCAGGGAAGGGTGGCCCTGCCCCAGCCCCTGCCCTACTTCCATTGCTCTCCACCCACGGGTTTGGTCTCAGCAGCCAGCTCTGTCCATCACCCCAAACTGCTCCTTCCATTGGCTCTGCGACCATCACCCAGGTCCCTAGGTCTCAGAATACCTCCCCTCCCACCACCCTCGACTCTAGGCAGGGGACTCAGGCGCTCTCAGTCCACAGGAGACGCCCAGGCCTGGGAGCCCAGTCTCCTGACTACCCTCTTCTCCGGTTCTGGGCATCAGCCCAGGGCACGGGGGTCTCCTCTCACCTGTGCAGCCTTGAGCACCGTGAGCCCTTCGAAGCGCTCATGGGGGGTGTGAGGGGAGCGGCGGCCACGATAGCCAGACCTGGCTCCAGCCTCGGCGGCGTCCTATGGAGGAAGAGAGGTGGCCGGGGAGTCTCACTCTCTGGGCCCTAGGCCATCCCCCACCTCACTGTCCACAGGGCTGCAAGACCTTCCTCCAATCCTCCCACTCCCTGGAAGGGGCTAGAGGCCCCCAGGGTTCTCTGCTGGCTCTCTTCCCTGAGCTGCTGCCCCTTCCCACAGAGCAACTATTTTCAGGCCTATATTGTCACTCTCTGGTAAAGATCTGGAATCCCACTGGCCTATGGGGCTATGCCCAGAACTCTGGAGAGCTTCCTACAGCAGGGAAGGGGCCTCTGAGAGGGTAAGGCCCATTGGGGAAAGGGAGCAGGAAGGGCTTGATCATTCATTCACGATGACCCAAGGATAGAGGAGTCTTTCCAGAAACAGGGCCCCAGCAGGAAGTTTGACAGGCCGGGTCCTGGCTGGCTCAAGGTGGCTCCCCATCGGCTGAGGTGCCTCTCTCTGACACCCTTGACACACTCTTGGAGGATGTGAGAACCCTTAATGCTCAGCCCCAACTACCACCTACATGAATCTCACACATGTGTGTCTCCTGGTATTTGAGTGTCCTTTTCCTGACACCTATTCTTTTGGCTGCTTTTTGCAACCACTACCCAGTTACCCTGTGTATAAACCCCATCTCTGAGAGACCACCTACTCACCCAAGCCATCTAACCTTCCATTCTTGTATTTATTCATTCAGTAAATTTGTACTGAGCACTTCCTATATGCCAGGCACTGTTCTAGGCACTGAGGACACAACCGTAAACATGCTCTCACGCAGTTTATATTCTGAGTAAACAAACAAATAAACCAGATTTAAGGAGCCACTTGAATACATGAGAGAAAAAAATGTTCCAGGCTGCAGAAACCACAAGTGCAAAGGTCCTGAGGCCAGAATGAATTTAGTGTGATGAACAGAAAGGAGGGCCGATCCTTGGAGTTATCCCTGACTCCAACCTTCCGTTGTCTTCCAAGTAGATTTAGCCCTGAACTTCTCTATATTTGACTTTCTAAATATTTCTCATCTGTCCACCTCTCTTCACTCCCTTGAAATGAGGACCTAACCTAAAGCCGTGGCACTCCAGCATCACCCAGAAGCCTCTCCTCCTTCCTTTCCTCGTGCATTCTCCATAGTGCCACTAGAGGGATCTCAGGGGTTCCTCAGGATGGTGATCCCAGACCCTACTCCATCTAATGCACGGGTACGGAAAACGTAACCCCTCCTTAAATTCTCCTATGATCTG